GCCCCCGGCTGGCAGAGGGCAATGAGCAGGTTCTGATCGCCGACTTTTCGCAGTCTGCCTCAGTCCCCCCGCAGCCTGCGCGGCCCTTGGTAACCCGGGCGACGACCGAGCCGGTATAATTTTCGATGGCGTCAATAGCATGAGTGGCAGGTGGCTGAATTTTACGGTGACTTGCCACGGTCTTCAACCCTCCTCCTTTCTCATCGGGTCTTGGGACTGGTATTGGCGTAGTTTCCTGAAATTCTGTAGCTGAAATTATGAAAATATTGTTGAAATGCTGGATGCGCTGAACATTGAACTCTTTGTCCACAACATGCAATTGCAATCCGTGACATTAATTATAACATAAGCCCTGTAGCCTACCCAAACGCAGTAGTTCCCGATTCTGGTGAATATTGCTCCCTCACCTCCGATGGGTGGACAGGCGTCTCGCGTGTTGTAGGCCATTGATGCAAACCGCAAGATTCTTATTCATTGTCCCATCCAACAGCCGCCGGTACAAATCTGAAATCACGTCACTCACCATGGGAACGAGCCGTGGCGACTTGACCGAGTTTCAAGGAACAGCGACAAGCAGGGCGGAATGCTACAGTTGCCGATCATGGAGATTAAATCACATTGGAACAAGACAAGGGTGCTACGGACACCTTGTCCGTCGGTGGACGATGAAGTGCAGCCCGCAGGATGACTGGCTGTGAGAGTCAAGCGATGTAGCATATTTACGAATGCACCCTGAGAATATTCGACGGCAGCATAACTGATGTCCAGAGCATTACATCAGCCATCATTCATTGGCTTAGTAGCTTACTATTAAGTGGGTACTCACCTCTCCCCAGCCAAAGGGAGGCTGCACAGCCAGTTAAGTTCGTCCCACAGTGATAAGCTTTATCAAACATGCACTCTCCGCACATTCTGCTTCAAACGGAAAACACCCATGCTGTGGAAGGTAGCAGTTAGTCTCCAATTGCTAGTCTGTGCAGCTGGGTCTTGTGAAATTTTGCGGCAGAATCTAAGAACTGTTTTGGGGTGGTTTAGTTTATCCACCACAAACCACAACTGGCAAAAAATATCTAGTTTAATAATGGCGTCTAATCCAGATGCACAACACTCCAACGGGATTGCGGCGTGCGATGCAAGGTAATAACATCGATTAATTGCATACTAAGTGGATATGCGTAATGTGCGTACTACAGGAACGGACAGAGATGCGACGGCCTAAATAAAAACGAATGTTAAACGGACAAGGCGAAAACAAGCGACGGCACAGTGCAAAGAAACAATGACCGTTTCATTGTTATTTATCTGACCTCCTTGTGGTATAAATAGTGCGCTTGTACCCACTGCGAGAAAAAGAATGATAAGTAGCACGTCTGAGGTGTAGGCGAATAGTTAATAACAGCACTATCGTTCACTTTTGCGTGATTGCCATTTATTCGTTAACGTATAAGTTAATACGTATAGTTATCGGATAACGATTCCTGTGTCATTTTCCATCCATTACCGAATATCGACCATTAACACTACGCCTGAAATCAGGGGAAACGTTTCCAGTCTTGGCTTTTATGTTGCCATATCATCCACAAGGATTCCTTTCGGAATTCCAAGGATTTATAATTCCATCCCAAACAACTGTTTCTTTTCCTCAAGTTTATTTTCTGGCATTTTGTATTGCTGTATTTGGAAGTCTTGTTTGTTTTTGTTTTTCCATGCCCTTTTCAAAACCTTTTTACATGTGGTATTACATGGTTTTCATCAATCAGTATTTATTCAGAAAGTGCTTTCGTATATAACAATGAGGTTCATTATAGTTAGAATATATCATCATATAAGTCAGGATATAAAAATGGCACATTACTCGTCCAAGACCGAATTTCACGGCTTGATGTGCCCGTCTCTTTGCTTTAATTTGCTTATGCATAGGGAAATGATGTTTAAGCAGGCATTTGAGTACCTAAAGTGGAGAATGCGTCTCATCTCTAGAGACCTAGATACTAGAGCGACATCATGCTCATCACGAACGCTGTTTCTGAAGTTGGTTCTCCTCTATGCTGCACATGAACATCAACGACAGTTATGCTATATTTAGGGGGAAAGTAATATAGAATTATCATAGTGATAAACATATTGGCATAATTGTACGACCCGCTGAAGTCAGTGGGCTTAGGCTTGAAAAATCGCAAAACTACATCTGGGACAGCGCATCGCTACAACGGAGAAGGGTAAAAGTCGCAGAGAACAGTTTTGGAAGATTTAAAAATGTTCTTATCCGTGAAATTGTCCTTGTGCTTGAAACGGAAAGTTTCAGACGAGTGCGTGCTCCCAGTGCTAGCTTATTGGTTCGAAGTGGATATTCGTAAACTGAAAACTGTGCAGTGCAGTATTTTGGTAGACTAGCGAACCGGTAAAAGTACAATTTCGCGATGTCTTGAACGAGTGAAGAAATTAAAGCTTCAATTAGCAGCGCACTGGAAGAATTATCCATTTCTATGCCAGAGAGACAGGTTGGGTTTCGAGAGAGAATAATCTGATTAGGCCTGGATCGATCTAACTAAAGTTCATGCGTTTAAGATAGACAAGAATTGCACAAAGAAGTCTATGGCAAATTTTTCAACAGACCTTCACCCAGCTGTGGATCGAAAAGGACTGATGATGTTTTTGTATCATAAAGACATAGCATGGTCCTGGAAAGAGCGATTTCACGGTATATGAAACCAGACAGTTCATTTGTAAGATGCAAAACTCCGGTACACAGAAGGTCGACATAACGGATTTCACTAGACTAAAGCAGTTGGAATCTTCATAATTAATATTTTGCCTTTAATCGATGCTTAATATAATCAGTATTTAATGTAACCAATAATTAGTCTTTCATTACTTCTGCATTACGCTATTTATGGCGTGAAATTCTTTATGATAACGTACGCCATTATAATGGGGATTCAACGGGGATTCAACGGTTATAGGCACCACCACTGGGGATTCACTGGGGATTCAACGGTTATAGGCACCACCAGAAGACCCATATATTAAACCGTTTATTTTGATGCCATGCAGAGGTCTGTAATAAATGTCATTTCATTTTTGGTTTCGCTTGTAGAATGTCCTAGTTGACCCTGAAGATAGCAAAAACTGTTCGATCAAAACATTAGCAGTAAAAGAAAATCCATCCTCCGGTTGTGTACAATCATGGTTTCCATACTACTGAATTAAAGAATAATCCATATGTATTTTTCATATTTTTAAACATTGTCCTCTGCCACATGTTTTTCTGCTGCTTAGCCAAATGTATAAAGCGGAAAATTGTAAAAGCACATCAACAAAACTGCATTTGGAAGTCAACAAATCAATAATAATCAATGGAACTAAACAGTTCAGTGTTCATAAAGCACCGGTAATAAACAACATACAGAACATATACAAAAACATGCACAACGAAGGCTGACTAGAAGTAACAGGGCTACGGAACTTTTGGATCCGGATCAGTGCCGCCTGTACTGCCTTTGTCACTGAGGGCCTTTCTAAGCGCGTCTCGACCAGAATATGGATTGCTGATGATCTATTGGATGCAGTCATTCAGTGTGTTCAGCTATGCAGGCATATTCTGCAACTTCTGTAGTCGTCGCTGCATCGCCCGTTGCAGTTCGTTTTGAAAACTCGACTCGTCTGTAGAAAGTCTCGATTTATTTACTGAACTTTGGCGGTTGTTAAAAGCGGTCGGCTTCATTGGGACTACCGGTCGAAAGCAGCTTTCCTTGTTGACAGGAGTATCAGAGGAGCATATTTCACAAGAACTGCACCCTACATCTGAGACGATCCTTGTAGATATTCTTGTGGACTCGCTCCTTTTTGGTGGAGGAGGGGGTGGAGGCTTTAGTCTGTCGCTGCCCTTATCCGTGCGGCGCATTGTCACTTCATGAGGTGGCGAATCAGCGCCAGAGCGAACTTGATGATATGACGCTTCTAAAGACAATTCGGTAGCTTCGTTCTGTAGCATCAAGGGCGAAGGAGGAGGCGGAAAATCGTTGAACGATTCGATAGACACGGAACGAGGCATTTGATTTAGCGGCGGGGGAGGCAGTTCGTCGTCACACAGGCTACCGTTCATGTTGCTGATAGTTTTGGATGGCGGCGGCGGCGATGACGGTTCAGCAGCGTCCGCAGGGGCGGTTTTAGGGTGGTCAGATATGGGTGTGCGCAAGCAGCTGTCAAGGGACGATGAAGAAGACGCCTTCCTTCTGGTGGCCGCGTTGTGGATCTGTTTCGTACTTTCGGTCAGCGGCAGCTTGGCCCCACCGATGCCTACCACGGCGGGCAGAGACTTCAGAGGCTGGCGTTTTATAGTGCCCGTCGTCGAGCCGTCCATTTCGAAAGCGTTCTCGAAACTACGCCGTTCGAATTGTTCCGCAGAGTCGCAGCTGTCTGAGTTGTTTGTTCCGACGCTGTTCAGGTCTCCATTCAGCGAACCGGATGGGGGGCGTTGTGAAGATGACATCGACGACATCAGCTCAAAGCTGCCCCCTGACAAGGATGACTGCAGGGAAATCGTGCCGTGACTGCCTCGGTCCGGTCTGCCGTTTGACGACACCTTAGAGGTGGCGTTTCGCTGACTGTCAGCGTGTTGTGGCTCCACTTTAAACGAAGTGGACGTATTTCTGGAAGCTACCGATGAACCCCGACGACTCGCTATTGCTTTCGGCCTAACAATAACCGATTCCCGCATATATGGGACAACACTTGCATCAGACGAACTACGGCATGAATTTGACGCATCTGAGCGGTTCGCTTGATTAAGATGGTCTCTAAAAGCTTCGTAGTTATGAAGAAGCGTTCGTCCATTCTGAAACGTCATAATTAATTTAAAACATCAGACTGAAGAAAGTATGACAAACCTTAACGATCCGTAAGTTGACTACCCAACGTCGATAACTGACAGCATCATCTGCGCATAAATACTTTATGTACTTTGAACTTTTAACCTGAATCTGCGGGTGCTAAAATAAAGATAATTCATAGAATCATGTACGAAATAAATACTGAATCTGTGGCAGCGTCTTGTGAACGGTGACTGGAAGAGGTAAAAGCAAAGTAGCTGCATAGTTATCAACATAAGGCGGCATCTCCCAAGGAGATATGGAATCTCTATATATTGACCTTTAATTTACATTACTTTGAAAACGTCATCTATAGCCTCTAACTAGAAGATCTGAACTGAAGATTTGCTGTTTTAACTCACAAGATAAGAAAGTTTCTTTGTTAAAATACTGTTGTTCCGACAGTGAAACAGTGCACATCCAAAACAGTTAGTAATAACTAGCTCACTACCTTACAACAGTAATTTTAGTTTAAACGATAATACGTTCTTATTTACAGGACAGCAGGTCAACCAGCTGGCAGAGACGCTAGATCAATCTTCATCTTCCATCGCCGCTTCTCCTTTCGGGTCGCGGAGGCAGACGCGTCAGACAGTGCTTCCAACGTTCCCGATTTTGTGCCAGAGTCTGAACTTCGGCAAAAGACAAATGCAGTCTGGAACAGATTCCTTCCATATGTTTGCACC